AGAAAATGCTTAGCTCATCTTAATACTGTTCGTAAATGTATGTCAACTCGATTTCTGCCCCGGTTTTTTAACGAGTTTTATTTAAAGCTCAAATATTATGATACTGAAAAAAGTGGTTGGCTGCCTCGAGAGGTTGTATATAATTATTGTGCTTCAAAACTTATAAGATTCGATCCATCTTTAATAGAACCATTGTTATCAAAGTGGGAAGCATTTGATGGTTCAAATATTGACTACAAGTTTTTTTCGCACATTCTTAATTACAAGGAAGCAATAGAATATTTTCCTCGTATTCCTGATTTACCGCCAGAATGCATTGACTTCCGCACCACATACAGTGAAATAATGAAAACTGATCAAGAGAGAGATGAGTCTCGTATGGCCGGAATTCCATCTGGTAGGTATTTCGACTTAGACTATCCTATTACACCTAATTTCTACTGCAAAGCATTTAGAACGTGCCTCCCACAAGAGTCAGATGTCCAGTCATGTATTACTCCAAGTATTTTTACATTGATGCACGTCAACCACCGCGACATGTATGCTAAACGTGAACCTGACGTCGTGAGGAAAGTATTCAAAGCTGCTGGAGAGGATTTTAGTGATGAAAAATTCAACGAAATATGGGAGGAAGCTAAAAAATATCATTCTCAAGGCTGGGTCTGTTTTGAGACATTTAGGACGGCGTTACGAAAAGTTTCAGATGCGGAAAATAGTATTAGTTAGATTATAAGGAATTTCCAATACTTATACCATAAGTCACGTTAACGTAAACTACGTCAATTAACTTAATTTGTATTTATATTATTTCTATGTTTAGTAATTTAATTTTTAGAAATGTAATTTAGTATATTTTATATTTATAGTTTTAATTCAATTTAAAATTCACTTTTATAATTACAAACTATCTTTTAGATTAATTGTTATTTAATTTTCTAATGCTATTATATTATTATTTAAAAAGATCGTTTTTAATTTTAAAACATTCCTATTGTTATGTAGTTGTTTTAAATTATCACCTAATTTTTAATATGTTGTTTCTTTATCAGTTTTCTTGTTTTTTTTGAAACTGAAATATACACTTTCTTATTTGAAATATTTAAAAACAACTTCAATAATCACGTTAGATATATACAAAGTCTGTTTAAGGTTTTCATGTTACTTTTTCATAGAATATAATTTACAATATTTCTATGTTTATTTTTGAACAATGATACCGGATAATGTAATTGAAAACATATGTAAAAGGGACGGGTAGGAGCAGTAAAGAAAACTTAACTTTTATTAGCGGATACATCTCTATAACACATCATATAATATCTTATATGATGTGTTATAGAGATGCTGCGATAACTGTATTAACAAATATTGTTTCCTTTGTTTTCAAACATAGTGATAGAGATGATAATATGACATATGCGATATAATTCCAAAATAATTTTATCAGTGTCCAAATAATATATTATACTATACCAGCTGAGCCCGCAACTCCGTCCGTGCGGCTTTAAAAAAAATGTTAATAAGTAGCCTATGTGTTCCTTCAGACTCTGTTCTACGTCTACGGCAAATTTCATCGCGTTCCGTTCAGCCGTTCCGGAGATAGCTTCAAAAAATCATTCATCCATCCATCAAAACATTCGAATTTATAATATTAGTAAGATGGCTTAATGTGATCACGCTGCGGTGTCTGAAGTTATTTTCACAGTGCACAAGTAATTTTTTGATATCATAAAGTGGTAAGCAAGCAAGCGGCCGCCTGAAAACGCCGAAAAAGCGAAGCGAGCTCTGCCCATATTCTTCCACAACTTAATCCGAGAACTCCACTGCAGTTACAGTTAATTGATTTTGTCATCCATTTCATAACCTCTGACAATAGTACATACCTCTTTGTGTGTGCACCATGATAAAATCATGTCGATCCAATATGGCAATATCTTAGTTCACATGACTTCGACTGGGAATGATGGTAATGAACTCTTTTAAAAATTACGAATAAACACAAAAAATACTTCTCGTTTTTTAATTGTGAATTTATAAAAGAATAAAAAAAAATAACTAAACCAGAGATATTTATATCGCTTTATATTGTCTTATCGACGTTTATTTTCTTTGACATTTTTGACACCAACTTGACGTTTTTTTAGTTTCAAGTAATACGTTTTATTTTATATTGTATTTTAGTAATTCAATATTCAACAAAATGCCGGTGGACTGCCAAAGATCGACGGCGGGTGGGAAAGGAAACCTGGGTATGTTTTATGAACGAAGTCCAAAAATTTGTGCTGCAGGTCTACCTTCTCAACAACCAGATAATCGAATCAGTGATGACTTGCAGCATTACCTAATGAAGGATGAGATAGACTCACTTATAAGTGATGCTATCATGCCTCCGGAAGTCCAAAGACCTCTTCCACCTTTACGTCATCCTATACCATTAGACATGCGGTTTGCCGGAATATACGGACATGTCGCAAGTATTATAAATCCCCCAAACAAATCTAAGTTTCAAACTCTAGTAGATGATTTCAAAGAAGCCACTTATTCCTCCTATTGGAAAAAACCACTCGGAAAGGTACAAGATCCAATACCAATGCTACCTGAAGGACTAGATGTTTACAACACGACTTTTGGGAGGAAGTTACCTGATGCAGAAAGATTGTACGATGTGGTATTCCCAAAAGTACCAATTGAAGATAAAACGCCAATTTCAAAATTTCCTGCTGCCCAAATAAATCGGAATTACTGTAAACCTCCCTTTGATCCAGATTTAACATATGGCCATAGAACTCATGTTGACAAACGTGGAACATACGCCAAAACTTGCTTAATTGATAGTAATATCGTTGTCGGAAATGGAAATAGAACAGTGTTAAATACAATTCAATCCAAATACCAGGAATTCAACAAAGCTAGACTTGGAAAAGTTTTAGCTCCCAATAATAATATTAACAATGTTCCAGAGGGTTACGCATTTGGAATTTTAAGAAAACCTGATAATCTTAAAGAATGCCTAAGTTTCTGTGAAATTAATCCGGACTGTGAGTTCTACAGAAAATGCTTAGCTCATCTTAATACTGTTCGTAAATGTATGTCAACTCGATTTCCACCCCGGTTTTTTAACGAGTTTTATTTAAAGCTCAAATATTATGATACTGAAAAAAGTGGTTGGCTGCCTCGTGAGGTTGTATATAATTATTGTGCTTCAAAACTTATAAGATTCGATCCATCTTTAATAGAACATTTGTTATCAAAGTGGGAAGCATTTGATGGTTCAAATATTGACTACAAGTTTTTTTCGCACATTCTTAATTATAGAGAACCCATTGAATATATTCCTCCCATACCTGAATTACCACCGGATTGCATTGACTACCGCACCACTTACAGTGAAATGGTGAAACCTGATCAAGAGAGAGATGAGTCTCGTATGGCCGGAATTCCATCTGGTAGGTATTTCGACTTAGATTATCCTATTACACCTAATTTCTGTTGCAAAGCGACTAGAACGTGCCTTCCACAAGAGTCAGATGTCAAGTCATGCCTGGCTCCCAGTATTTTTACATTAATGCACGTCAACCACCGCGACATGTATGCTAAACGTGAACCTGACGTTGTGAGGAAAGTATTCAAAGCTGCTGGAGACGATTTTAGTGATAAAAAATTCAACGAAATATGGGAGGAAGCTAAAAAATATCATTCTCAAGGCTGGGTCTGTTTTGAGACATTTAGGACGGCGTTACGAAAAATTTCTGATGCAGAAAATACAAAAAATTAGAAGATTCAAGAATTTCATTATTTAATTGAATCTACGTCAAGTTAATTTTATATTTTATTTAACTACTTTATTTACTTTTTTATTTTTATAGTTTTAATTAAATTAATAGGATAGTTTTGTATGTTTAATTTTAATACGTTTTATTTTTATCGTTGACAATGTTTAGAAAAATCTTTTTATTTTTGGAAAAAAAAATTATGTAATAGATTTTAATTTGTATTTTGTAATGCAGTTTTTTTTTAATATCTCTTATATTTTTTTACCATAATCTTATTTTCTTATTATTTTCTACGTTCCCCTAAATTCCAGCATTTTTAATTGTTGAAATAAAAAATATTTTGCAACATTTTACAGCTTGTTTCATTTATGATCAAATTAGGTAAATATAAACAGACAGATTTTGATAATTTTTAGGTAAAACCAGAACTTAGCCTTCGTTAGCGGATCCAGAGGGTGAGTATATAACGGTATTGACAAATTAACACACCTCTATACCTTTTCAAAGAGATCCACCCCAGCAGTATGCTATAACATTTACTTTATCATATGGCTTATAAAAACGTCTTCTCGAATCACGAATAAAATGTTTCACCGTAGGTTACCTATAGAATTCTATATGTAATCGGTTCTGTTTTGTATTAACGCTGCCAAAATGATCCTAAAACATTTTTCATTCTACAAAAAGTAGTTAATATTAATCAAAATAACTTTTTTTTATTGCTTCATATTTTTCTTCAATCTTATTGTCACACCTGACAATAACTTGTCGTTTCCTTGTCACTACTACGTGTAATTTTCTGTTGCTTATTTTTATTTTATAAAAAAATAAATTACTTACCTGTACATTTATAACAATTAATAACTAACATGCCGTCAGGCAGACAAAAATCGACATGTGGTGGGAAAGGAAATCGGGGCATGTTCATCGACCGAACCCCAAAGATTTGTGCAGCAGGCTTACCGTCTGCACAGCCAGATAATCAACTCGCTGATAACTTGAAACACTATCTACTGCAAGAGGGGGTAGATGCACTCATCGGTGACTCTATCAAACCAACTGAAATACCAAAACCTCCTGCACCCCTACGTCGTCCTGCACCACCAGATATGCGTAACGCGGGCATAGGTGGAGAAGCTGCAAGTCTTATACACCCGCCTTTTCAAACCAAATTTAAAACTCTTGTTGAAGATTTTAAGGAGACGTCTTATGCTTCCTATTGGAAGAAAGCAATTGGAAGGGTCCCAGATCCAGTACCGAATTTACCGGAAGGTCTTGATGTTTATAACACGACTTTTGGTATGAAGTCACCTCACATTTCATTATATGATTTAGTATTTCCAAAAATACCCATTGAAGGCCAAACGCCGGTTACAAAACTACCCGCTACTAAAATAAGTCGTAATTATTGTGAACCACCATTCAATCCAGACTTCACATACGGACACAGAAGTCATACTGACCAACGTGGAATACATGTTAAACGATGCTTGACTGATGATAAGATCATTGATGGTACAGCAAATCGTACGATTTTAAATACAGTCCAGTCCACGCATCAAGATTCTAGCAAATCTAGACTAGGAAAGGTGTTAACACCTAATAATAATATAAACAATGTTCCAAAGGGTTATGCATTTGGAATATTAAGTAAACCTGATCATGTTGAACAGTGTCTGAGCTTCTGTAAGCTTAATCCAGAACGTGAATTCTATAGGAAATGCTTAGCTCATCTCAATACTGTTCGTAAATGTTTGTCAAATCGATTTTTGCCCAAATTTTTTATCGATTTTTATTTAAGACTTAAATATTACGATTGTGAAAAATCTGGTTGGCTACATCGAGACATTGTATATAACTTATGTGCCTCGAAGTTGATAAGGTTTGATTCTTCTTTAATAGAACCATTATTGACAAAGTGGCAAGCTTTCGATGGAGAAAATATTGACTATAAATTTTTTACGCATATTATTAATTTTAAAGAAGCCATTAAATGTATTCCTCACATTCCCGATTTACCGCCTGAATGTACCGACTATTGTACTACTTATAATGAAACGTTTAAACCTGATCAAGAGCGAGATATCTCTCGTATGGCTGGAGTTCCCTCTGGGAGGTTCTTTGACTTAGATTATCCCATTACACCTAATTACTACTGCAAAGCCCATAGAACCTACTTACCACAAGAGTCTGATGTCAAGTCATGTCTTTCTCCTAGTGTTCTCGCTTTAATGAATGTCAACCATCGCGACATGTATGCCAAACGTGAACCAGACCTCGTGAAGAAAGTATTCAGAGCTGCTGGAGAGGATTTTAGTGATGAAAAATTCAATGAAATTTGGGAGGAGGCTAAAAAATATCATTCCCAAGGCTGGGTCTGTTATGAGACCTTCAAAAAGGCGTTGCAGAAATTTTCCGAAAAGGAAAATTTTACGACTGAATGATTAAAGAAGAGATTTAAAAAGATACTTTTCCAATTACTACTTTCAATATGTCGCCTTTAGGTGATTATATATTTAGTAGTGAGTCCCGAGATAAGGATGTAATATTAAGTAATTATCGTATAATTTTGTTTTGCAACATAGACGAATTGTCTAACGATCTTTTTAATATAAAACGTGCAGGACATTATCTGAAGAAGGAAAAAAAAGCTCGCGTATGTGCAAAATAAAACTTTATTAATTCGATGCTTGCAATTTACGAGACTTTTTTGTAATAATACTTCGACATGGCTGTGGCTTGTTGATGTATTTAGCTAAGTTTGAATTATTCGTGTAATTAGAATTACGTAAACCTTATAATAAAAATAGTCATACAAAAATATTCCTTTTTTATTTTAACAATCCGTCAATTTTTATTTGCTGCCAAATATCGTTTTAACGAGATTTAATCACTGAGAAACTGTTGAAACTCTTTTTGGTATTTGCCTTGTGGGTCGTAGAGATTCTTGAGTTCATCCCACAGTTCGGGATGTGCCTTCTTCACCTGTTTTACGAGTACTTTGCCCATCTGTTTCTGCTTGTCAGTACATTTAGCGCAGTTCGTAGCAAGTGCCTCAGGAAGTTTTTCTATAAAGAAGAAAAAGTTTAAAAAAAAAACTTATTATATATTCCTTTAAGTTGAAAAATTTACTCGAACTTGTACAAACATAAAACAAATCCTATACACTAAAGTAGCTATTTTACATACACTTTTGTACAGTAACAAATTAAATTAAAATTGTTATGACATTATTAATTTAAAAAAATATATTTGAATAAATGTTTTTGATTTTATTTTATATATAAAATTCTCGTGTCTCAATTTTCGTTCCCATTCTCTTCCGAAACGGCTTGACCGATTCTCATGAAATTTTATGAGCATATTGAGTAGGTCTGAGAATCGGCCAACATCTATTCTTAATCCCACGCGGACGGAGTCGCGGGCGACAGCTAGTAAATTATAAAAATCAGCATCAAATCAAATATATATAAGTCCTAAATATATAAGAATTAAAAATAATAATTAAAATAAACACAAATGAAAACATTATTGAATCATTCTGCTTCTAGTTACTTTGTCATCAAGGACTATTAGCAGTGTGTATATAAACAAGGAGTAAGGGTTTGTGAACGAGGACTAGGTACTTAATCTTATTAGTAAAGCAGACAATTAGCTGCAAGTCTTATACGGTGGTTAAGGAAGATATCATAGATAAGGACGCTTGTTACTTACCGCGTACTATTTATAGTGCTTTCCGCTATGCACTAACCGTAGGTTTCTGAGATAAAAAGCCCCATTTAAAAGATATTGTTATCTCTGATTTGTCTAAGATGACAGGGACGATATAAAACATAACGTCTCAGAAACCCAATTGTTTCTTAAAAGTATTGAGCTTTTTTTAATTTATTAAAGCTCAATACTTTTGAATATTTTTAGTTATGATTTTTTTCTTTATTTATATTGTTAATAAGTTTTTTTTAATACCTAGCGGACGGATTCTCAGGTGCCAGTTTGTATTTAATAAAATCATACATACCCTTAATTTTCTTAACCTCTGGAGTACAAGGTCCTTTGTTCAACAGACATTTAATATATCCAGTTAACAAACGATCATTTTCCATCAACTCTTGCAAATTGAAATTATCCTCAATGTCTTCATATTTATCTTCAGCGAAAGCCAAAGCCGTCACACAGAGAACAAGTACAATCAACTTCATCTTGCAACTTCGATTCTATCTGATTAGATACAAATGGATCATGACTCTTTTATATATCTCATGTACAGTCACGCTCAATACAATATTAAAGATACTTAAGTTCTAGCAATTAATACTAAACAAGTATAGATACTATTATCATTACACAAGTTATTACCCATGCGACTGTACACGTTTACATCGCATTCTTGGAAAGATTTTTAGTACACACGAGATAATTGTCCATAAACATATCTACTTGATGATGGACGTAGGTTTATTGTTAGTATAAACCGTGTAATTATAGTTGTTATAATAATAGACCTTATTTTATGACATTTGTTTTAATATCACGAATCGTTATTAACATACTAAAGACACAATAGAGATTTAATTAAAATTTTAAATGCAATTTCAACATCAACATGATTTTAATTTTTAATGAATTTAATACATTAAAATATTTATTTATTTTTCATCGATAACTTTCTTTTATTCTTTTTATTTTTTACTTATTAAAAAAATAAAGGAAAGTATCAAGTCAGTCTACTTTGTACTTAAACTTACGAATGAATATTATATTAATTTGTTACAAAATATTTTAATAATTTAAACTTAATTATTTAATTTTGATCTTAAGATTATAAAACTAATTTCCCGTCACTAAAAAGGTGTACAATGCCTCTCTGTTCAACCGACTGGGATCGTATTTATCAAGTAGTTCGAAAAATCGAGGCTCACTCTTAGCCCTGATCCCCAATAGTAGCTTACGGACGACAACCTTTTGCTTCGGGGAGCAACGACCGCAAGCTGTTGAGATGGTTTCTGGCAGCACACCTGGAAAGTTAGAAAAAATCTTTACATCTTACTAATATCGCTAATGTTTGGCAGGCAGGTGTAGAACATAGTCTGAAAGAACACCTAGGGTATTATTTAAGTTTTTTTATTCCGCGCGGACAAAATCGCGGGCTTCAGCAAGTCGACTATAAATGATGAAACGACCATACTATATCTTAAACTGTAAAATTAATGCAACCTAACTGGGTTTTGACAAATATCCTTATTGTTGTCTCTATTTTATTTAAAGAAAATGTAAGGGATGGCAATATGAACCAATATGTATCTGCAGTCGAAAGCCACAGTAATGAGGGCAGAGATCACAAACTTCACAGGATTACTTTATTACTGAACATATGTATCTTATCATCTCTAACTTCTTTCCTAAGAGGCCTAAACCACAAACGCGTAAAATTCTATAATTTAGCCAACCTCTTTGTCTGTGTTATTACGTGTTATGTTATTTGTAACACCTAAATTAATATAAAATGTATAATCGCTTTAAGGACGGAAAATATCCAATCGTTTGAAATACTTCAATAATTGTTCATAAGCAATGTGTTTTAATAAATTCTACTGCCTTTTTATGTTATTTTCCATTACTTTGTAACTTGTGTAGCATTTCTGGATTATAACTCGTAAAATCTACAAACTTATCCGATCATTGACATCTATTTATATCTAAATGAATCCAATATTTAAATATTTTCAAGCTCTTGTGTATTAACAACTGCAAGACGCAAATTATTTTGGAAAATCTTTGCAGTGTTATGTAGCTTAACTATGTTATAATAACTGCATATTTGAACTTGAGAGATGCATTTTAAAATATAATATTAAATTCTTTATAATTAAATATGCTTTAAAAATAAATCAATTATGTTTTCCTGTTGTTCTGTACTTGTGCCTACAATTACATCCAATGCTATTAAGAAGCTTTATCATAATAGTACTACTTTCGAAAATTTAAATTATTACTATCGCATATTTAAATACACGAACGATTGTTGTCATACGACTAATAACTAAATAACATTTTTTTTTAATTGACGAACTAGTGTGAACATATCCTCTTTAGAAGTCTTCGCCTCTAAACAAAAGTTGGAATTCGTAAATCAAAAAAGAACACTCGGAGATGTTCATACAATTTGTTTATGTTCACTTACGTTTAAAGTTCTTGCCGTCTTTAGTGCAAGGTCCCTTCTCCATGACGCATTTGTAGTAGGCGAGTAGTATCCGCTCATTCTGTATGATAGAGTCCGCGTTAAAGTTGTCGTACCGGTTGACGTACTGCTGTTGTGAGGAGCATGACACCACCACCGTCAGCGCGAACACGCATAATAACCACTGCTTCATCTTTATCTATAAACAAATACAAGAATAATTGTTTTACATTTTTTTTCTTCAATATACAGGATGTAGCTTGACTCAAAAGTTTAATGGTGTTCTTTGCAATACTTTAAATTGTTTGTAGTATGTGGAATCGTTTGTATGCGCGAGATTTTAAATTTGTCGTATACTCTGAAGACAATCTTATTTCAAATTGATCAATACTCAACAATTATAATTTTATTTAAAATCAATGTAACAGTATAAATGAATTCGGTCAACGCTTTGCTATACCGCTACTTTCACAATACTAGAACCGTACTTTCTAAACGACGTAAAAGCGCAATTATTTAAAACAAGTAACACTCACTTGAAAGAAAGTACACAAGTCCTTCGGGTGTGACGGCCAATGTCGATATGGTCGTTTCTCCGACTCCTAACAGTGGGGTGCAAACATTTCTCTAAAACCAGTCCTCGATGTAGGAAGAGGTCGATGTAACGGGCCGCATACAAAACGTTTGCCGTGTACAGAATTAAAAAAAGTGTGTCAATGATCGTATTAATTATCTTCTTAAACTATATACAACACTTTTTGCTTTATAAAACATCATATAACGGAAAACTTTGTATAAACAGTGTAATAACAAATTGTCTTTGTCTCCCAAAACATGTTTCTTATGCAATGTCAATGCCCTTAACAGTGAATCGAACTTTGTTTTTGTTGTTTTCTTATTTTTATTACACCACAAGTATACCCTTTTGAAAAAAGGGCCTAAGTCCCTTAGTGGAATGAAGATAAATTCACTTCAAATCCCTTACTAGTACCTTATTGTCTACTTCAAGTTTTTTTTTAAAGGAAGAAGGAAACAAGCAGAGGGAACATAGTGATCATCGCCGCTCACAGTCATCCGCAATACCACAAGATCTGCAAATGTTCCCACTTTTACGGCTAATGTGAGATGCTCGCTTCTTGAAGGACCCTAAGTCGTAGCGGTTTCGAAATACCGTCGATGAAAGACCATTCCACAACGCTGCTTTGTGAGGCAGAAAGTTTGGAGTAAACCACACGTGAGGATTGCCAACCATTGGATTGTGTGGATCATCCGATGACGGAACTCTCCGGCAGGAATTGTTCCATACAATTCTTCGGAGCACTCTCTGTGGGAACTAACGTCCCTTGGTAAATTAAGGTATTGAGTCGATTAGTAAAGGCTCGGTCGTTGACGATTCAGATCGCTTATGCGTTGTATAGTGGGTTGTTGGTATGTTTCGTGGTAGGCAATTATATTTTAACCATTGGCTTCTTATGAAGGAACATTTCCACACAAAGAAATCGTTATCTCGGTTTTTTTAAAAGAATGAGAGAGAGATGGACGAAGAGAGGTGACAAAAAGTTTTGTACATTATTTTCAAAGTAAAAGTAGCTTCCTTATTTTCTATTTGATTCTTTTTGTATATAGGTAGCATCATCTTTCATATTTAGATACATAATAAGCTTAATAAAGATGGATAGCAACGACTAATTTAAAAAAAATGTTTATTTCTTGTTCACGTTGGTTATTCTAAGAAGTACAGTTGAATATTTATATATTCACTACTGTTTCATATTTATCTGTTTACTGAGTACTTCATTTGTATTCAATATGCGTCTCGTATTCCGGTTTATGTTGGCAAGGATTTTGTAGTTTCTATCGACTCGACACTTCAATGATTCAAGTGGTCCAGTACAATAGTTTAATTTATTATTAATTTAGTCAACGTTTTACATAGCGCCAAATAAAATCATATATTTCGGCGACAAAATATTATTTTAAGTAGTAGTTTGAAATACTAAAAAAGATATTCAGACCTAATGGTGTTTCATAAAGAAAATATCTATAGACCTATCCGATAACTTTATAGGGGTATAATATCGAGTATTGCCAATCTTGCTTTCCGTTGCAGGATTATTATTTGTTACTTGCTACTACTATTTATTCTTGGTCGCTGTATCGTGTCTCAATTATTATGACTTGACTGATTCAGACATTGCCATGAACCTTTTTGATTTTATTTTTGAATTATTTATTTTAAACTAAATTTGTTTATTTCAATAAAAATAATCATATGTTAATAATAAATAGTTGTATTCAATAATTATGGTACCGTTATCTATTAGTGTGTTTAGTATTTTTTATATATATTATTTTTGGGGTAGTAAATTAACCTTGGATAGAATTAAAAAATAAAGTTTGTCAATAGTTATTCCTAAATAGTTTTTAAAATTTAGGTTTAAATAATTACAATATAGTTTATAATGCAAAGTTTCATAAATGAAAATATGCTAATAATATTCTAACAGGAGCTGTAATAAAAACCCAAACATGTAAACATGCTCTTCATATTTCGACAGGCGCTTCGATGACGAAAATAGTTAAAAAACCTTTATCTGCGAGGACACAATAAATTAATAATATTTTAATACAATAATTATTAATTATTGTTTACAGTAGGTGTTTTTTTTTCAATAAATTGTTAAGATTTGAGATACGATACAGCAACGGAAGTGGACACAACGCGGAAGTTCCGCAGTAGAAGAAACTGAGGCCGATCGCATCATTACTTGTTATTGTTTACTCATGAATCATTGCCTTTCATACATCGTACATCAATTATGTTTACTAAGATAAATGTTTACATTGTAAATAACAAACAGCTTGTATTACGACATTTTCTTTAATTATTGTATTTTTAAATAAGTACTAGCTGACTCGACAGACATTGATCTGTTTGGACTATGCATTTTGAATTCAAATGTTCTAATGTTCCGCTCAATTTTTGACGTGACGACGAAAGTGACGAAAGGATTGAAGAATTGATTGGGATATATTCGTGGGTTATACATTAAACTTGAATAAGAACAGAGACAACAACAAGATTTTCGGCAGTGATCACTTACAGTACTGTGAGTTCATGGTATTTCCTCGTTTGAGCTGGCCTCTTGAAATAATTTTAATTATCTATAGTTGGTTTCAAACATCTCAATGGCCCGAGGTCATCGTGGTTCGCTGAGTTCTCCCTTCGCATCCGACAGCGCCCCCTACACCTACAATTATTTTCTGTGCAACGAAGTAGTCTTGCTCGAAGTTTGGAGCCACTAAGATATTTGTCAACTGTTGTATAATAGTTCCTATAATTATTATATAGAATTTAATGTTGAATTATTTAATTGATAATAACAATATTTGTATGTCCGAAGGATAATATCTCTTATCGCAATATCAAAATAAACATATAACAATCATTATTGAAGGCCGCTGCAGTATCGAACAATATATCGTGTGATAAAAATCTAGGCGATATACAAATTATTTTGAAATTGCCACAGACAAAATTATTCATTAACTTATTTTGGATATTATTAAAATTGCTTATTTCCCTATATTTTCTCTATAAAATGGTAACATTTTGGATTGAAATACATACAAGTGATCCGGCATTGACAAACATCAGGAATACAGGTTAATATAAAGTTGTCTTTTTATTTAATATAATAATAACATCGACAATATCCCCAAATTCGTAGTGTTTTACTAAACGAAGTTACCGTTGCGAGGTACATACGCTATTGTAAAGTGTCCTCACTACGGTCCTGACAAACCTCTCTCACTTCTTCATCATTCGTAGTAAGTAACAATGTTGTCATATATAAATCTTCCAGAACAATGGTGTTTCTAAGCCTTGTACTTGCGATGCTCATACCCACGGCGCTGAGCTATGATGCAGCTTATGACAAAGTTGACGCAAACAAAGTGCTTGCTGATGACGCTTTGTTTAGATCTTACGTCGATTGCTTTCTCGATAGAAAGCCATGCACTGCAGATTTCTCTGAGGAATTTAAAAGTATGTATTCATTTTGTTAATATATTAAGATCGATATATGAAAATGAAAAACATTTACTGTATATTAAAAAAAACATTAGTCGGTGTTGCCTTATTTGACGTGACTCTTTATTTATTATTACGATATAGTAAATTGTGCAAATAATATGACTTAGACATTGCAGTAATATACAAAACGTATAAACTTACCATTTGAAATATATTCCGTGGGAGAAATCATTTCCTGAAATTTGATCAGATCAAACTTTCTTCATCGGTTTTGAGAAACTGAGGTAAAGAGATTGTTTCCTTATTGGTTATAATCCCCACAATACACACAAGGGATATATAATAAATATATATCCCTTGTGTGTATTACTAGTAACCATGCAGCGTGTCGATCGGTTGAGCTGTTCATGAAATTCATGTCATGTCTTCCCAGCTTGTTTATTGAATGCAAATAAACAAGATTTACTCGGAAATTTATTTTAAGGAAACATTTTTTCATATTAAGACACACGGAATCGTAAAACATTTCGTATCGATTTTCCTCATTATTTTGTTGGAACTAAAAGTAATCTCTTTTTAATCTGAATAAATGCTAATTGTTTTTCTTTTAATACTTTTTTAGAAATTCTACCCGAAGTTATAAAAGAAGCATGCGCTAAATGTTCGGAACCACAAAAGAAAAACGTAAGAAAGATTGTCAAAGCTCTTTACGAAAAATATCCGGATGACGCTATCAAGTTTGCGGATAAATATGATCCTAAACGCGACTACGAATCTGCTTTCGCTGCTTTTGTTGCTGAAGAGTAATTTTATGTTCTTAACATATTTCAAACTATTTATTCCCCTTTAACTATATAAAAATAAAGGGTAATAAATGTGCGCTGTAATCCTTTAACGACTACTGGCTTTGTTGTATTTTATCTTTTATAAGCACTTAACGGAGCATTACTCAATAAAATTGTGAGCAAATGAAAATCTGCTTTATTGTTATTTAAACTTGGATCTGTCCCAAAATTGAATCTGAAGTCCGGCATCGAAACATTTCTTCTTAGTCTAGCTATACCAGATTAGTTATAACTAAATAGTTTTTCGGAAAAAGATCTGAAACCTCGTGACGGATAAACTCCTAAACCTAAAACTTCTGTCTACAAAAACAAGATTTTTAAACAAAGATATTTACTATTTATTTTTTCTAAATATGTCTAACTATACCCGAGTAAAGTAAGGTTTTGTTTAATAGTTCATTTATAAAAGCAGCCCTTGGTAACTGAAGCATGTCAAGAAGTTGTAACACGTACATCCGAGCATTTGCAATAGGATATACCCGTAATTAATATTCGACTAGAGTTTCATTGTGTTTATATTATTGCAGATGGAAATTCCGACTTTTATTTCGACATTTATACGTGTGTATAAATCAATCCTGTATACTAAACTTCGATGTTAAAGTAATGTTTAATTTTAATGCGTTGAATAAAATAATCAATTTTATTTGGCCTTTTCACAATATCTAAGTATACTGCTGGATAAATAAATACAAATAAATTAACTAAAACATAATATTTCCTGTAAAAATAGTTTGGATTTCTAACAGCTTATTTAGTAATTGCGAAATGACTTTATTTGACAAATAAGTTGCAAGTAGCTTCACGACATACTTGAACATTGTAAAACAGGCGTCTCAACTTAGTTGAAAGATAATATTTAATATAAGGAAGACTTTGGATAAAAAGTTGAATAACGGTATGTGCTTTCTGTCGGAACATCGGTATAACAATATGCAGCGAGTACAAAGACTATAAGAAAAATAACTTAGTTGATTTATTGTTATTGCTATAAACTCTAGTTGGTCCATAATATTGTTAAGATTAACTATAATTTCAGTGTCGTAAAGCCTAACGATGCGGAATGGTTGCGTTGCTTGTTATAAGAAGGTTATACAACGATGTCTGTCTTACGTCAGAGGTGCTGCCAGCTGGCGCAAGCGGCCCGCTGCGGTTGACATACAAACACACATGCAACCGACCGGCCTGCAAACTTGCTCAACACTCAAATGCCAGCCGTTCACCTAATTCAGCCAGAGGTTCTTATAGGACGAAAATAAACTATATATTTTATTCAATTCTTTATTATTTTCAGTCTAATCTTTCATCTTCAAAATAAATAACAATTATTTTTTTATGCTTAACAAATTGTTCACGAAAGCATAAGAGCATTATTTGAGTATCAGTATAAACAATAACATTTTAAAGTGGTCTTACCCCCAACATATTATTATACAAACTTTAAAATTGAGCCACAAAAGAAAGGTTGAGTATTTTAACAAATTGGTAACAAAGAATACGTGTCTTCATAGGAATAAAACTTATTATAACTTAGTAAATAACTTATATTAAATGCGAAATAAATAAGTTTAGCTTCCCTGGATGAATTTATCGAAATTTGCGCGGTGTTTGCCGCTCGGGTCGTTTTTCTTGACGAGATCCTCCCATTGACCTGGGTACTTCTGTTGTATGGCTCTGATTACTTTTCTAATATTAAGCTTCTGCTTTTCAGTGCATTTGCCGCAAGTGGTCTCAATGGCCTCAGGTAGGGCTTCTGTAAAAAAAAAGAAGAAAAATTAATAAAATAAAGTTTTTAATAAAAATCAGTACATTGGATAATTCTGCAGAATTGTCGCAAGTTTTACCCTTTATTTGACTGAATAAAAAATAGCATTATGTCGTGTCTAAAACTGGATAACAGCCAAAGGTTTAAAATCTAATAATTAAACTACCAATACGAATACTAATGAACTACATGTGATAATAACAAGTTTATTATGGATTCCAGTTATCTTGACTGTAAAAAGGACAGATTTTTAAAATGAACTGATCATTGACGTCCATATTTGTAAATACTCGAATTTCAATAAGAAACCAGTAAGCATTTAGTACATTGCGTAAAGAGTTTTGCAAATTACAATTAAGTAAATATTTATCATATATATCAACTTGATAACCTCAAATTAGAGTCGTCTAGTTGGAGGGCAACAGTTGCCTTGACCTCGCCCGTTTTATGCAAAAATTATAGTCGGACTCCGCTTGACTTCATTTGAGTTATAAAATGGAACGTTTTCTGCATAAACAATGTAACGGATTCAAGACGAAGACGACATTTAACATCCATAAAGTAAATGTTAAATTACTTCACGATAATATACGAGATGAATTTATTCTTATAGTCCTACTCGTATATCGGACCTCTAACTTTTATCTTATCTTCCTTATATTACAAATGCGAAAGTTTAGAAGTATGAATGGATGGATGGATGTTTGGTATAAGATAACTCCAGAACAGCTGCATAAATTTCGCTGAAATCTGGCACATAGACCATAGTCTGGAAGAACACATCTTAAGTTTTTATTAATTACGTGCGGACGGCGACGTTGGCGAGAGCTTATTTAGCTAAAGATTTAATAAACCTAGTATCTAAATGTTTATGATAATAAAGAAAAAAAAGTACTTACTTTTAAAGTCAGTGCCCTCAGCTGTGCATCTGCCTTTATCGAGGAAACAGTTTATGTAAGACTTCAGCAATCTTTCGTTAGTAATCAATGTCTCCACATCAAAGTTGTCATACTTTGAATTATACTTGTCCGCCGCGTACACCGACAATAACACACAAGCTAACACCACCAGGGTTTTCATTTTGAAGTTATTTCTGCAATTACAAATAAATTGAAATTAAATAGTAGTTGATAGTAAAGAGTACTATCCGAATGTGTCTTGTCCCGAATAATAAATGAAGAAAACGTTTTGTATCAGCGAGCTACCTTCATGGACGACGAACGTTTGACTTGAATCTAAATTAGTTCTGCCTTAGAGTAAGTAGCATTTGAACTTAAATATGTTAAAGACAAGGTTATAATGTTTTATTACTTGCGAAATCGTTAGTTAATTTACACAAATAATAATTTACTGGACGTTATTAAACTATTAATATAATTAGCCTTTGATAAACTTTAAACTTGTCTACAAAATCACTAAATCAAATTATGATACCACATTATGGAACACAAAACACAATATGATTTGGCTTGATAAATCTCAATGGCCGACAACAGTTCGTTCACCCACCTTTTACTCTCTATAGTAGACCCAATGAACTAGCGACCATTGAAAGCGACAGTGCTTTTATATTGACGCTGATTAACCCACTACCTTCCTCGTCGTGCAGACCATTTGCACCTCTTATCCGACATTCAACTTTGAACCTTTCGGCTTTTATCATAGAGATTCTTTTTAAAACAACTTACAAGAATAGCAGGGCCCTCTATAGTTCTACTGGCTATGTTTTATAGTGGACAGTTTGTTGACTATATCAGGAAATCGTCTTGAGCAATAATTTCTTGAAAAAATTTAAGGAAAACATGAGAAAGATAGTTTATTACTTTAAAAATGTAAAGTTCATTATTTTTTTAATTTACAACAACACTATCGTAATTAATGAAGAGAGGCTCACAAAGAAAAGAACATTGACTACATTTGTAAATAAAGTAAAGTATATAAGGTCTTAATATAGACTCGGTAATATATAGCAATAAAGTTTATTATTACTACATAGTACATGTAATATTTCGTAAAAAATTGAGACGCATTGTACTGTGTTTATTTGACGATTAAAAAAACTTATCAATTTATTTGGAATAAACCCAATGAACTAGAGAAAATCCTTGAAATTTGTTAATTACCGTGAAGTGGAACGAGCAGAGCTTTGAAAGTAATACAAGTTTGTTACATAACCGTTGTTTTGTTTATACGTAGGCCTTTGACATAAACATAATGTTATTTAATATGATAAAAGCTCGCATTTATTAAGTAAACAAAGGGCTGAATTCCATACAAGGCGGTGATAACACTGTTTCACATTTTAAATTATCTTGTGAAAACTGAATAATAATTTTTGTAATATGGCCAGCTAATAATCTAAGCAGGTAGCAAAGATTTTTAATTTTTCTATGCTCGAAAAATCGAGTTTGTTTTAGTTCGAAGCAACGAATAAGTTTATCCATTGTAGAGTTCACACACAAAACCTTTTAATTCTCTATCTAATTAAAACATACATTGAATTTTGGTGCTTTAAAATCATCCATTATCTTAAAACAGACATTTTCCTTATACCCACTCTATGTAACTTGTACCTACTGTACTCCACTCGGGCTTAATTTAAACTTAACCACTTAATTATATCTTCATTTATCAGTAACTTGAGGAACGATTTCTATGCTATTTTACCATCATATTTTCATTCATCATATTTTACCATCTATATAACTTTTTAAGTAAACATTTTATACATACAACTATAATATTATAAACTTAAGCTGTAGATATTGCTTCGAGGAATCTTTCGAAATATATATTTTGAGGATCGAGTTTACGTTTGAGTTCATCTCGACTGTCGGCCAAATATTTGTCGAAGGCTTCGAATGTGTTGTGCGCCAGACGTTTTTGAGATGGTGAACACTTCGCACAGGCTGATGTCACCACTTCGGGTAATATCTCTAAAATCCACACGTCAAAATCAATTTAACAAAATAAAAACATAGCCAAGTAATCGCATAGATCCATTAAAATTGATTGAGTACTTACGTATTACAAACATCGAAAATATTAAATTTAATTTATCATATTTTTATTTCCAAGTATAACCTTTTTTTTTATTGAAGCGAAACATCGAATGAATCACCATTGCCAATCAAAATACCCTTGCCTTCTTCGACAATAGCGTAGTTTTATAAAAATCATAACATACCTTACTATAAATATTGTACCAATGTATTTTGTACACGCCAATATTTTTTTCATATTGGAACATTTCGCAAGTCACAGACCAGGTTAATACTGTATCGTGACGCTGTTTCATTGCAATGCTCCCAAAACCCAAAATTAAAGAAAGTTTACGTTTCATCATTGTTCCTTACATACGTTATAGTAACCTAGCAATTATTGTAATGTTTTCATATACCAAGTACCAAGAAATATTAAAATCTTTCTTCTTACTTATGTTATAAATGCGAATGTTTAGATGGATGGATGGATGGATGTTTGTTTGTAGGTATCTTCAGAACGGCTCAACAGATCTTGATGAAATTTGGCACAGATGTAGAGCATTGTTTAAAGAACAGACAGAGTTGCGGGCGACAGCTAGTTATTTAATAAATAAAATGCGAGACTTAGACCGAGGAATTGTATTCTCTGTGCTATTGTTATCATGATATCCTTGGACATTTTTATTTTATTTTATGTACATTAACATATAATAACTTTTGCGAAGGTGATTTGTGTGAGTAAAATTAAAAGCAATTAATTAAGTGTTTATGATTCATGACTATTTTAAAGGTTTTTTAAAATTATATAAATAGGAAAGACGCATTTGTATTACTTAACTGTGAGTTATGAATAACAATTAAACATAAGTTAACTATAATAATTATAATAATATATATTAAACTTAAGTAAATTCTGATTAATATTCTTCATTAATTTGATTTATGAATATTTAATTTTTAACTTACGTTTAAAAACCCTTCCCACTGGTGTACAAGGTCCTTTATCTAAAAAACAATTCATATACTTCGTCAACAAACGTGGATTTTGAAACAAATTATCCACATCGTAGTAGTCATATCTTCGATCATAATATTCATTCTCAGAGGAAATAAACAAAGGAAACACGAGAAACACAAACACAACCACTTGCATACTAACTGTCGTTTAATCAATATATCCTTATATCCTGAATAGATCCACACAAATGACTCTACCGTTCTATAACAACGTATTTAATACGAGTTACTCAGACGCAACCTTCAAAATATGTGAAGAGGACACATGAGAATGTAAAAACATTTATATTAACCTAACAATTACCAAATTATCTTAATGTATCATACATGGGTGGATGAACGAGTAAAGAGGTGCCCCAAATCGTATCAAATGGAAATGTATATTGTTAGGCAAAAAATCCAACAATGTGCCGATGTATCGCCGCAACACTAGCCTTTTTAAAATATCGACGGTTATGCCCCCTCACTAGTCAATCTGATATTTGACTTGGTAACGAAAGCGCGCCATTCGCGCCAAAGGATTCTATCTAATGATGTCTAAAAATATGTTGGGTGTACACGCTTAGGTTATGGGATTCAGTGTTTATATAATAAAATGTTAGAATTAAAACTGTGATCACCTCCTGTTCATTACCGTGTGGTCGAACAGTATGTACTGCTCTTCCATATATCTCTATCAGCCGTTATATATTCATTCTCCAATTTTACGCATATAAACGTAGACGTTGACGTAAACGTAAGGAAAGGCGTCAAATGGAGGTCTGTGGTATCTGCATACCCCACTGGGCTACGGGCGTGAGTTATGTTTTTTTTTGTTATTGTTTTTGAGGGTGTGACTGACGTCTGAAATATTTCATGTGCTTTAAACTACGAAAAACAGGCTTTTAGTTATTGTTTTAATGAGTCATACGTATCATTGTAATGCGTTGATAATAAAATTAAAACTTTTATGGTATGGCTGATGACAATCGAAGTTGCCTGATTCACGGACCACTGATGATTATGATTAACGAAACAAAGACGATGTCGCTAAATGCTATGATAATGATACTTGTAATAATTAGTGTAAAATTCCACTGCCGAAAGATGTGTAATGTATGTAACTATGTATTTATAAACTGATTACTGGCGTAAATAGATCGATTTAAATAATACAAACTGCTACATATGATATGCTATTAAAATATGACTGAATGTGTTTTTTTCGGAACTGTTGTATAGTTTTGACAAAGGAGTTTAACGAAAAAAGATATGGGGCATCGGAAAGAAATAAAGCTTTGATACGGGTAAAAAAAACTCTTTAAATATAATATTTAATCATTTTTAATAAGATATTTGCTGAAAATCACATTCGCAGTTTGATCGTATGTTGTTTTATCTAATATGCCTAAGTTATGTTTCATGATAGAAGAGAGATTCGATATTTTATTAGCTATACATCAGTAAGGATTAATGTTGAATTTTTATCTTTATTTTATTAAACGATATCTCTAGTTTTATGTAGCTCTAAGACTTTGAAATGGCTGATAAAAGTGCAGCGTAGTGCTTGGATTCTGGATCGTATTTCTTCTTGAGAGCGTTGAGGTCATCGACTACTTTCTTTTCGGATTCCTCGAGGAATCTTTTGAAGATGTGTTTCTGTGCTGCCGTGCATTTAGCACATGCGTTTTGGAACGCCTCAGGCAAGTCCTCTGTAAAAAGAATTAATGTATAATATGTAATTATATTATTTTTAAAAGAACATGATACATGAGATAAGATTTGCACGTCTTAGGTCCGGTATTTTTTATTACTGCGATGCTAGTTGAGCGGGTTATTAGTTTTTTGTTAATAAACTTATTACTAGCTCATCTAGTGCCATGAGTCTATATCTTAAAAACAGAAAATGGATATCATTATTAATCTTACTAATATTCTAAATGCGATTGTTTGGATGGATCGATGGATATTTGTTTGAAGGTATCTCGGGAACGGCTGAACGGATTTTGATGAAATTTGGCACACATGTAGAACATAGTCTGGCAGAACACACATGCTATTAATTATGTTTTTTTTAATTCCGCACGGACAGAGTCGAGGGCGACAGATAGTTATTATGTACATTTTGGTAAATTCCGACATTAAAATGTAGCGGCAAATATTTTGTTACGTAGATTTTTTTAGTTATTGTTTTGTTTCAATTGTATTAAAGTTTTACATTCAATTTTTTTCTAATAAAAGTCATTAAAACAAAAACATATCTGCGCATTACCTTTAAGGTAAGAGTACAATAACCTCTAAATAGTACGCAAGATTAATCTTATTAACATTACATCTAAATATTATCACGTAGACAATCTTTACTGATTACCTATACATTTACATTCAAACACATTCTTAATTTATTACATCCACAATTAATTCTTTTTATATAGGTTAGCGACTTCAACAATTAATTTAACAGGTTTTACATTTAAATACCATTCCGACGGATGTCTACATGTTTACTGTTTTAAAAATTGCAAGGTACCTTATGAGGAAGAGTAAAAACCAGCCTTGTTACGATTTACTTTGTATAAAATGTAAATTCGTAAGGAAATTAATTATTACCATTAGGTTAATCCATTAGGTTAAAAAGTCCGGGAAACAAAGACAGACAGATATTCCGGGGAACAAATATCTTACTAATATTATAAATGCGGATGATATTATAATTTTTTAATAAGTTCCCTTGACACTTGACAGCGGTAACGATGCTCATATTCTTAAAACATTTAAAAATAAATGAAAGTGCTCTTAATGTCCGCTCTACAATATATTTGTATCTGGTTGCTTGAATTAGAGACTGGCAGGTGTTAAATTATATTGTGTTATATTAAAAACTATAATTTAAATATAGGAAACAGAAGAAAACTTACTTTTAAAATCAGCTTGTACAGCGTCACATGGTTTCTTGTCATTAAAGCAGTCCATGAATGATTTTAATGTGTTTAAATCACCTACAACCGCCTCAATGTCTAAATCATCGTTCTCTGTACTGTAAGTCTCAGCTGCAACAAGCGCCATTAACATCGGTAACAACAATAAGCACTTCATCTTGAGTAACTCTTCGAAGTTTCTGGAATATGTTATAAAAAATGTTTAATTCAAACCGAAGTTACCTCACGCCTCGATTGCCTTTGCCTTTTTGACATCTATCGGAGTAAAGTAATTAAGAATACAACTTATCAAAATTAAATATTTAAGTCATAACAAACGTTTAAAGACTTATCAAGAAATTATTTGTCATAAGTTTCCATTGCCTCAACGCGTGTACAAAACCATATTGTTGTTTATCTATTTCAAGGAGGATAAAACAAGGATGACATTATGTTCTTGTTCATTTATATCAGCAATAAAAACCTACTGTTAGCTTCTCATAGTAACAAACAAAATTAATCGCAAATGTGTTAGTAAACTCGCTTATTATTCTAATAAAAATAACTCATTAAAAGATTAATAATAACAGAGGTTCATTACTTCTTAAAGCACGAAGCATTATAATTAATAATAATAATAGCTTAACCATTGTTCCAAATATAATAACAATTTAATATTATAGAATGTTCTAGACACATTCGACAAAGGTCAAAAAATGAAATTTTAGTACACTAACTTTTATTTATATGTCTAATGAACTAAATTATTGTAATAAAATGTATAAAAGAGGTATTATTTTAAAATAGTATTCAACTTACGCGACGTCAGGTTTAAGACACAACTTGTTTTAAAGTGCTAAGATCAAAAATTGTCTTAAACATTGAAACAAGGTTATTTGCATAGTGAAAATTCTCACGAGTCGCTCTGTTTTTATACCAACTTGACTGTGAGACTTTTTGTTACATGTATGTTTAATGTGGAGACGTTTATTCGACACTGCATATTGTATTTGAGTTATTTCAATCTCTTTTATGATATTTGTATTTTTATTATGATATATAAAAGATTTATTTTTAACTTTAATTTAACGTTATTACAGCCTTCCATACATCCAAAGATTCGCATTTATAATATTAGTAAGATTAGCTTTGAAAAAAAACTCCACCTAGTTTAAAATTACTAACTTAATTCTAAATTGAACTGTTCAAGCCATCTTT